CTAGAGCATTCATTATAAATGGCAGCTGAAAACGCAATGCTTTAACGCTATTTAAACGACTCTCCCATCGAGTTTCGGACCACTGTTTTACTGTAAATTGTTTACAGTTACTTTTTAATATATCCCAGCGACTAACAGAAGCTGAGAATAAAGTATATACGCGACGTAATATACCAAAAAAAGTGATGGCCCTTAGTGAGTTTTTCGCTGCATCACAGAGAACTAGATTAAGACTGTGAGCAGTACATGGTGTAAAAAAAGCCCTAGAATTTATGTTTGAAATTCGAGACTGTACTCCTTTATATTGTCCGACCATGTTAGAGCCGTTGTCATAGGCTTGACCTCGACAGTCTTTAAGATCTATATTATATATTTTTAGTTGTGAAATAAGTATTTCTGATAAATGCAATCCCGTTGTTGATTTTACATTAATGAAATCTAAAAAATATTCTTTTATCGCTGGAGCACTTTTCGTATTTTTTTCATCCATATTTACAATTCTAATAAGAATTGTAAGTTGTTCGATGTGACTAATATCTGGAGTTGTATCCATTATGATTGAAAAATATTTAGCTGTCTTTATTGAATCGATTATTTTTTTCTTTACTTCAGCTGCCATCATTTTTATGAGTTCATCTTGTATCTCATGCCCTAAATAATGAACATGGGTTTCTTTATTTTTAATTCGATTTACATGTTCCAGTATAACAGGATCGAACTTGGCCAACATTTCTATAATACCGAGAAATTTTCAATTACTCTTAGTATACAAAACGTCCGAAGAACCTCTAAATGAATCATTATTTGAAGCTAAAAATTGAATTATTGATAAAATTCGAATAAGTACATTTCTCCAATGATTTTGTTCTTTTTCGAACAACGCTTGATGTTTTTTATCGATTGTTTCATCCATTTCTATTCTAGTTTTTAATTCGAACCAAGACTTGACAGACTGAACGTGGTGTTGCGATCTTTCATGAGATATTAACTTGTCCGACACATGTCTCCAGTCACTTATACCTACTGTTGCCAAATCACTGTGACATTTTTCATTTATAAAAATTTTACAGCAAAAACAGAATACGCAATCTTTGATTGGAGAGTATACAAGCCAAACACGATCTACTTTTTCATTATTTGCTAATATTCGGTAAAATAATTTTGGAGAAAATTTTCTCTGAGATCCATCGCTTTGAATTGTAGCTGGAAAGTCGAAAATCTTTAAATGGGTAGGTCCTAACTCAACAATTTTGTATTTAACTTCTTGGCTTATATTATTTGGCCAATTTCCTGGATCCTTCCACTCATCCAAATTGTAAATAGTCAACTGACCTTCTTCGTCACTTTTTAAGTTATTTTTTTCAGTATTATCATCACTTTTAAACAACTTATCTTCATCTGCATCTAAATTATCTTTTTCATTTTTCGATGACTCGCCTTCTTTATTACTTTTTAAGTTATTTTCTTCATCATTATTATCACTTTTAAGCGACTTATCTCCATCTGAATCATCTCTTTTCAATGAAATAAATCTATTAATGGAGCCGCGTTGTTTATTAATAAACTCTTCATTCTTTCGTTTTTTCTGTCTTTTAGCACTACCCGATTCATACTTTCTAAACATATCTCGTTCTCGACCAGCCATAATAACCTATGTTTTTTAATTATAAATAATTTGTATCAATAAATTTAAAAGTTTGAAATTGTTTTGTAGTTTTACAATGATTTTATGATGATTTTATTTGAAATTACCAGTGTTGTGCAAAGATAACCAACAAATTATATTTATATATTTATAAATAAAATAATATAAAGTTTGTTCTATTTTTTCTATTATTTGCACTTTTCTCTAATATTGTCTAAGTACATTTAGGATGCAAACAACACTTAGGCTAATAATCACTGTAATCGAAGCCTTTGAATTAAAAAAAATAATAATAATAAAGTATAAGATTATGATTTATTTTACTATTGGAGACACAAAATAAGCAAAATCTGTTTTTTTTTGTTTATTACTTAATACCTAATTATAATTTATAAAAACATAATCACTTTATAATAAAACTTTTTCTTTTTTAAACATATTTTGTTTATAATCAGTTAGTAATACCTTATACTAAAATTTAAAATGATAACTAAACAATTACTGAATAAAAATTATAATGTTAATAATAAACAAAATAATGAACATAATATAGTTGTTTAGTAGTAGTAGTTAATATATTTGTTTAGAACACGTTATAGACACGTTTTAAGTAGATTGACAAATGACAAGTATTATATGTATTATTGATATTATTATATTAGGTATTATTATAGTAACTATAATATAAC